ATCTCCAAGAGCTGGTAATTCTGGAAAAGTTTTTTTGCTCATTTCACTTCAACTTTTTTAGAGTATATTTCTATCGAAAAATAGGAAGGCCCTATTGTCAGGGCTGTCTTGAAAGTATTTCCAAACTCCTTTCTTATTCTTCACTTGACAAGTGCTGTCACAGGGCTCCATCACTCCTAGACTAACAGCTACCAATAAACAGAAAATTATTTCCAACCAGCTAACATGCTGTTTACTTTCCAGAAAAATTGCACTTTCCAATCTGACAGTTGATCAAGGGGTACCCCGCTGCTGTCAGCAGGGAGAAATGTTTAAACACAGGGATGGGAGTTTAAACATTTTCTCATTATCACAGAATAAGGGGGAAAACACAAATAAATAAATAAGTAAAAATGGCATCCAGACTCTCTAACCCCCTGCTGGGATCGTAATGAAGCTAGGTCATGTGACCAGGAGGAGTGGGCTTTTATCTCTGGCCCCCAGTATCCTACTCAAGTGACACCTGTCACATGACCCAGCTTCAGTCTTTTATCTGCCTTCCCCAGCCACCCTTTTGGGGAATTGTCTTTTCCAGAGATGTGGGGCCCATTGCAACCATTGTCATGGGCTCTCTCAGTGCTGTTAGGTTGGTGTTTTGTGTCTCCTGCCTCAGAGCTTCTAGATCTTTCCCCAAACATTGTTTAAACATAACAAATTACAAAATACTACAAAACCAAAACATCACAAAGATCTCAGGATGGAAAAAAATACCAGTGTTGTGTTTTACATAAGTTTGTGGAAATTCTATTTTTTGTCTATAAGGAATAGTGTCTATATTTTAAGCACAGATCCTCAGTTTTGAACCTGCTTGTTAAATCAGGTGGTCAGTGAGCCCTAAGGACACTTCATTACAAGGTGCTGCACCCCTAACTAGCCGGGGTCCCTAGAGCTACAAAGAGTTGAACTGGGTGGCAGAAACCACCCTGCCCTATCCCCAAACCCAATCTAACTCTGGAAACTAGCTCAGTTCCTTGTTCTCCTGCCTTCCAACCCCAGGGTCTTTGGCAGATTGAACTCCCCTGCTCTCTTACCGTGTCCACCACCTTGATCACTAAGAGTCGATTTTTAGAGTACTGACTGCACACTAGGCACTGTTTAAATTTCAATGCATTAACTCATTCCATTCACATAGACTCCTGGAGAGGGATGCTGCTATCTCAAGAAGGAAGTGAAAATGAACAGAAGTATTCTGCGGGAAGTCATAAGGTTAGAAGCCCGGAGCCAGAGCTGAACGAGAGCAGTCTGGCTCCTGATGCTGCACACCTACTCAATGATTTTTTGATAATTTTACAAGTGTACTTTTCTTTTTCTCCCTTCTCTGAGGACACACCTCACCTGTTTTCTTCCAGGCATGCGTGGGCTTTTGATCTTTCCTCCAATCTCTGAATCTTCACAAATTCATTCATTTCTTTATTTTTTTTCACAAAGACTCTGCAAGCATGACTGCACGATTGCAGGGGCTTGGAGTACATAACTGAGTAGAACGCATCGCAATCCTTGTTCCTGTAGGGCTTACTTTTCACAGGGGAAGACAAAAATTACACATAATATGCATACAGACATAAAGAATTGGTGGATCATGAATTTGAAAAAGTAAGGACAATTCATGCATGGCTGGGTGCTGCACACTGGTGAAAGAGTTCATTCCCCTGAAAGATTTCATTGAGGACATCCTGTGTGCCCTGCTCACGGTGCCTGAGATTTCAGCAGCCTGAGGACTGCTTCCTTGTGGAGTTGCACTCTAGCAGAAAGAGAAGAGCAAACACAACGTAAAGTAAGCGATAAGTCACTGAGCATGAAATCAAGGGGTAAGTTTTCGAGAAATGGTGCAGTTTAAAGGGGAATGGCGTGCAGGCGGCTTGCCCATTACATAGGGGCTGCAGGAGGCTTCTCTGATGGATGGCGTGTGGTGTCATGAGCAGGTGATGGAGTTGCTCTGTGTTTGTAAGGAAGAGGCATAGGCAGTGGGAAGAGCCAGACACAAATCTGAGAAGAAAGCATGCCTGATGTTTTTGTACCATGCACTGGTATGCTTTCATAAAACCGTATAATCTCTCTCCTCTCTTTGTTTCCCCCCTCATTTATTCATTCATTCATTCATTCATTCATTCATTCATTCATTCATTGTTGTACTGGAGACTGAACCTAGAATCTTCACACTTAGTTACATCTCTAATTCTTTTTTTAAAAAAATAATTGTGTGTGTGTGTGTGTGTGTGTGTGTGTGTGTGTGTGTAACCAGGGATTGAACTCAGGCCCTTGCACTTGCCAGGAAAGCAATATAGCACTTATTCTACTAAGCCATCTCCCTGGGCCTCCCTTTTTTATTTTTTATTTCGATGCCATGCCTCACTAGGTTGCTAAACTGCCTGGACTGGGCTCCAACTTGTGATGCTCCTGCCTTAGCTTTCCAGAGTGCTAGGATCACAGGTATGAGCCACCAAATCTGGCTGCACAATTTCTCTTATGATAACCAAACCAAGAAATCTCTCTGCCCTTCCACTGTCTAGTGTTCTGTCTTTTCCATTTTTTAAGGAAATAATATCTCAACTAATGTTTTATTTATTTGTTCATTCTCTACTACTTGAATAAAATAACAGGGACTAGATACCTTATGAAGAAGAGAGGTTTATTTGACTTACAATTCTAGTGATTAGGGGATTCAAATGGCACAGCACCAGCATACCCTGGCTGGGTCACAGTATGGCAGAGACAGAGATATAGAAGAGACCAAGTACAACCACTGCATAACAACCCATTCTCTGGAGCATCAAGCCACTGTGAGGTGAGCACAGGTCCTCCTGAAGGCTGTTCCCCATGACCCAGGTCCTATGCCCTAGGACCTGCCAAGGACACAGAATCACTTATTCCTCTGAGCCATCTCCCCAGTCCCCTGCCAGGGACAGGTATATCTCAAACCCCACAGTATGGGGGACCAGGCTTTCAGCACATGGACTTGGGCTGGGTTACACTCAAACTAGAGCAGCTCCAGCCCCACAGTGCTATTGCATATGACCAGGGAATAAAGATCTGAATGATGCTTTAAAGTCTTATACATAACTTTATTAAGGTTTTGAATGGACAACTGCATTAACTAAAGGAGAAAAGAGAAGAAAATTCAAGCATAATTTATTTTCCATTATAATTAAAGAAGACAATTTTGTTAAGGTTTTTTTCAAGAAAAACCTATAAAAAATAAAATGACCAGGGGCCTGGCCTTAGCTCATTTGTTTAAGTGGCTGCTTCCACAAAGCTGTCAGCCTCAGGTTGCTGTAGTTTGATCCCCACAACTCTCCAGCCAGCCAA